TTCAAGAATTTATACTTGGTGAAGAAAGATTTAGGCCTCTTTCACACGGGCGTTTCGTATGTCCGTATTTTCATCTGTCCGTTTACAGATGAAAAACAGACACCCATGTATTTCTTGTTCAGACATTTTATTGAATTTCCAAAGCCAAGAAACAAGCATAGGACAATTCAAATACATGTACAGAAAAAAAAGAGGACAAAGGGGAAGAAGTTGTCTTACGGCAAAAGGGTAAATATCGTACAGAAACATGTAATGAGGAACCATGGAGAGACATGACGGGAATATTGCAAAACAAAGGGTGGCAAGACATGGTTAAGCTCTAGACAGGGAGCACTACTCCCAAAAATTACATAAAGAATTCCATGTAAGGCAATGAGAGAAGGATAGGGATAAGAAGGAAAGAGGGAGGAAAGATTAGGAGAGCCCAAGGGAGAGAACAGAGGAGGGGATGGAGGGACGTGTGACTTCCAGGAAAGGAGGGGCAATCTCGAGACCAGGCCAGTGTATAGTTTACCACTACGGAGCGAGACTAGAGGAAGCTAAGGGAGGAGCAGTGAATCATCAAAGTTCAGTGGAAGGAAACGTTCCACCCATGGAACTTGGGAACAGAATTTAGAATGGTGGCTTCCACTTTGACGACACCCATGTATTTCTATGGACTAGCAGATGTAAACGGATGATCATCTGTTTACATTCGTTAACGTCTGTATCTGTTAACATTAGATTTTTTGAATGGAAGAAAAACATATTTTTTCTTCCCTAAAAAAAAAAATGGAATGGACAAAAAAAGGATGTAAATGGGCAAAAAAAAACCGATGTAAACGGATGAAAACGGATGTAAATGGGCGGAAAAAAATGGGTGTAACCAGATGTAAACAGATGAAAAACAGATGTAAATGGGCTAAAAAAAACAGATGTAAATGGATGTAAACGGATTGTCATGTTTCACATGACTGTCATATGCCTGTAGGTGTTCTTTGTATTTTGTCTCTGCTCCTCCCTTTCCTTTGGTTTCGTTCATGCTGTATAGATTGTCCCACCCTTTTATTCATCTCCCAGTAATCTTTCAGCTTCTAGCCTCATGTCTTATTGAAGCAGATCACATTATGATCTTTTGACCTATACAATGTTCATTGTTGTAAGATTCTTTCAATTTATGGAATAAACTTCACAAGATCTACAAGGTGTTGTCTGGATCGAATCAATGCCTGTGTTATTCAACTAAGATTAGAGTTATTGCTATCTCATCACAACTGTAAGTTACAGAGATCACACTTTCAATGCTTAGATTGGAGAGACAAAACACGGATAAAAAAACGGATGTAAACAGATGAAAAAACGGATGTAAACTGATGAAAAACGGATGTAAACAGATGAAAAATGGATGTAAACAGATGAAAAAAACGGATGTAAACTGATGAAAAAAGGATGCAAACTGATCCATTTTTGCTTGGAAAAATACGTGTGAAAGGAGCCGAAAGGACTTATAATGGCTGTAGCTGTTTTTTTGGTTTCTTCATTGGTGTTCATCCTTGACTTCTCCAACTATTGACCCTGGATGACACATTGTTCTGGCAACCATAAAATGAAAGCTTTGCGAGCGAATAGATTTTTAATATCATATTATTTTACTGATGCTGATTACTCATATATGAGAAACTTTGCAAGAACTTTAGGACTTTGCAGCGATTCAAAGAATATTACTATATTATAAATACTTCATTATATATGTACAGTATCCTGGTATGGGGTAGTAGACACAGTCTTCATTGTTTGTGTACAATGTACAAGAATTTACAGAACATTTGTCATTCTCTGACAGAGATAGATACATCAAAGCACTATGAATAAACAAACTAAAACCACAATAGAAAATAATATATTCCTGGATTTTTTGAGTACTAAATATTTTATTATTTGCCAGTCTAGGAGGTGTTGAGTAGTAGTTGTGCAAAAAATTCTATACAATACACATTAACCGTTTGTGGGCTTTTGAAGACACATATTCACAGATCAACTTTATAAAAGAAAGGTGTTTATTTAACATATATCAGAAAACATTAGCATAAACACATATATATATATATTTGGCTGATCTCCTTTTGTATACCATCACCAGGTACATGATTCATCTGAATGTTCATGTTAGCATTGATTTATTTCAGGGGTCTACAAACTTTCTAAACAAAGGACCAGTTTATTATCTTTTAGAATTTAGAGGGGCCAGACTGTGGCCAGTATGAGTAGAAAATGTCTTGGTGTCAGTAAAAAATACCCCATCGTTGATGTCAGCGGAATGAATTCTGCCCCATTGTTAATACTGCTACAGGACGGCATGGGTTCACAAAATCACGTATAGAGGTGAAACTCAAAAAATTTGAATATTGTGCAAAAGTTCATTTATTTCAGTAATGCAACTTAAAAGGTGAAAACTAATATATGAGATAGACTCATTACATGCAAAGCAAGATAGTTCAAGCCGTGATTTGTCATCATTGTGATGATTATGGCTTACAACTCATGAAAATCCCAAATCCACAATCTCAGAAAATGAGAATATTACATGCAATCAATAAAACAAGGATTGTACATAGAACAATATCGGACCTCTGAAAAGTAGAAGCTGCATATGTACTCAGTACTTGGTTTGGGCCCCTTTTGCAGCAATTACTGGCTCAATGCGGCGTGGCATGGAAGCTATCAGCCTGTGGCACTGCTGAGGTGGTATGGAAGACAAGGATGCTTCAATAGCAGCCTTCAGCTCTTCTGGATTGTTTGGTCTCATGTCTCTCATCTTTCTTTTGGCAATGCCCCATAGATTCTCTATGGGGTTCAGGTCAGGCGAGTTTTGCTGGCCAATCAAGCACAGTAATCCCACGCAAAAAAAATGGTCTGGTCAGGAAGGGGAGTAAATCCTCAGGAGGGCAAGTGGTTAAAAATGACCTTTCCATTTCTATCTGCAGTTCTGTAATTTTCTTCAAAATGCAATGCAGTATAGTAGCCTGGATGTGTTCCGTACATAGATCATGTACAGAATGCCCACTGAAAATGTCTCCTCCTTATGTGATTGGCTCACTGATTTTCCCATGTCTGCACTAAAATACAAGTCAGATTGCACAGCACAGCCATCCAAAGCAGCATGCTTTGCAGTGAAGCACACTGACACAGCCCCCATAGTAAAACACTCCCAGCACACAGTTAACCCTTTGATTGCCCCTCAAGTTAACGCCTTCCTGCCCAGTGCCATTAGTATTGTGTCAGTACTTTTTTTTAGTACTGATCACTGTATTGGTGTCACTGGGGATGTCAGTGACACCAAATCAGTTCCCCCCAGTGTCAAAATGCCTGCCGCAGTCCCGCTATAAGTCTCTGATCGCCGCCATTACTAGTAAAAAAAAAAAATTCCAGTATCTATACAACCATTTGTAAACGCTAAAAACGTTCAAGTGAATAATTTAATTTACATGTATTGGGATTTTTTTTTTAGCAAAGACATGTAGCAGAATACATGTGGTCATAAATTTATGATTAAATTAGATTTTTAAAATTTTTTTACTGGACATGTTTAATAGCAAAAAGTCAAAACTATTGTTGTTTTTTTTTTTTCAAAATTGCCAGTCTTTTTTTAATAAAATTAAAAAAGCACAGGTGATCAAATACCACCAAAAGAAAACTTAATTTGTGGGAAAAAAAGAACATAAATTTCATTTGGGTGCAGCTTTCTATGACTGCGCAATTTTCAGTTAAAGTAACGCAGCGCCGTAACGCAAAAAATGGCCTGGTCAGGAAGGGGGGTAAATCCTCAGGAGGGCAAGTGGTTAAAAATGACCTTTCCACTTCTATCTGCAGTTCTGTAATTTTCTGCAAAATGCAATGCAGTATAGTAGCCTGGATGTGTTTTGTACATAGATCGTGTACAGAACGCCCACTTAAAATGTCATTTCCTCCTTGTGTGATTGGCTCACTGATTTTCCCATGTCTGCACTAAACTACAAGTCATTATAGACATCCCTTGAAACAAAAATGTAATTTCTGGTGAGATACTCCCAAAGGGAAATGACATCTGAAGACAGACCCTGCCATGTTTTTCATTAGTATCCTGCAAGTGCAGAAGCTGATTGATAATTACTGTATAAAAAAAATCACTCCCATTCAGACTCACTCCGCACATGAATACAGACAAGCAAACAGCTATTTCTTCAGAACAACAAAAGGTAGGAATCTGCAAAAAAGTTTGTTAAAATCCCTGCAATGTACATAGATCGCCCAGAGTCAGGGGCGGACTGACAACTGTTAACACCAGGTGATCTAGCCAGTAATACACCTCCTGTATTAAAGTGCCTCCACAGTGGATGAAAGGGCACATTTGGACAGCAGCATTCTCAGTCTGCAGGAAGAGGAGTGTTAGATATTCTAGCAGATATAAATGCTCTAGCAAATTGAAGCCAAACTCCAGCTCACATATTACTGTATATTCAGTTACAGCAAAGTTTTTTTTTCCTTTTGAGATAAAGTTCTTACATAAATAAATAAAAGCTAATCATTTTAATTTTTAATCACCCCTGCCAGTGATAAATGGTTTGTCTCATCTGTGAAACTGATACATTCTGCTGGAGAGCTTGAGCTTTTAAAAAAAACAAAAGATTTGCTCACTGTATTACCAGATGATAGTACAAGAAAGAAAACCGAAAAAATAAAATATATTCATCCATCACATCTAAGAATTGGTAAGCTTCAATATAATAAAGTTGCAATATAATAATACATGTTTGCTTTTGGATTTAATGCTGCTTTAAAGTATTACTAAACCCCGGACCCTGCATTCACTATACCTGCCCTCCTACAGTACACACCACATGGAAGTGCAATTATCTTAGTAAATATAAACTGCTAAAAACCTTTTCTCATCAGCAGTATATAGCAGTCTTATGACTTCTGTCAGTGTTCAGCTGAGCACTGGAAAAGATTGTGGGAGGAGTGTTCATTCTCCTCTTGCTATCCTCTGAGGCTGCACGACTCCTGACCTTTTGTCTGGACAGTGCTGATTGGCCCTGTGCTGATCACATGCACTCTCCCAAGAAAACAAAACTCTGTAGCATATACAACTGAGCAAGTGCAGCTTGCCCCCAAGGCTCTGTACTATCAGCAGATGGATTGGGCACTGTAGAAGAAGGGGAGGATCAGAGAAGACAGGATCAATCATCTTTTTTACACAATGCAGATGATTAACCCTGTAGGTTCCACAGTGAGTATAACAAAGCATGCTTTACTGATTATACAGACTGATTTGACTATTGTGGGTTTAGTAACACTTTAAAGTGTTACTAAACCTAGACCCTGCATTCGCTATATCTGATCTCCCACAGTACACAGAACATGGAAATTAACTATTTTAATAAATATAAACTGATAAATACCTTTTCAGCAGCTAAAGCAATCTTGTGACTTCAGCTGAGCACTGGTTAAAGCTTGTAGGAGTCTTCTTTCTGCTCTAGGAGGATGCAAAACCCCTGATCTCTGTGTGGACAGCTCTAATTGGCCCTCTGCTGATCACATGCACTCTCCCAAGAAAAAAAAACCTCTCTAGCAATACGCACTAAACTGAGCCGGTGCTGAAGGGCTACGGGTTCAGTCTGTCTTATCAGTGTGGTCATTTGAACAAGAGGAGGAGCAGAGAAGTCAGGATCAAACAGCCTTTTTACACAATACAGAGGATTAACCCCTTAGATTCCAAAGTGAGTATAACAAGCATGCTTTACTGCACATAAAGACTGATTTTACTGTTGTGGGTTTAGTAACACTTTAAGGATTGTTCACTATCTCCTAGGTTGTAAGCTTCCAGGATCAGGGCCCTCCTAACCCTCTTGTATTGAACTGTATTGTTGCTGTATTGTCTCCCGTTATATTGTAAAGGGCTGAGCAAACTGTTGGCGCTATATAAATCCTGTATAATAATAATAATAACCAACAATATAATGAAAGTCCAAGAAAAAGTCCACTGAATACATCAAAAATAAAAAGAGGAAATAGTCCAAGTGTTGTGTCACTAAGTGATTATCCTCAACTCTTACCACCACACACATCACCACCATTAGCAGCTCACCTCACTTTTTGATCTGTGCACAATAGGTCATTTGTGCATGTCCCTTTAAGGGATGTAATAAAATGTATCAAATGGATAGGTTTCTCTTATGATCCAATCATACTTTACAAGCGCTCTGAAAAATCCAAAGGTAATGCTCAGAAATAAAACATATAAAAAGTCATAGGGCTTTCCATGAAAACACATTAATTTATTAAAAAGCAACCAATGAAAAATGTAATCAGCAAAAAAAAGTGCACAACAGATTAACGGATAAGTTCTACTTTAAAAAAATAATAATAATAATAAATGCACAGATTGTTTTTGCAGGGAAATATGCATTTACTATTTTTTTTAGAAGCCTGGAAAACATTGCACTAGAGATCAGCAGATTGTGGGTGCCATGCAGGACTCCTGCAGACTGTCAGTGTAAGCTGTCTGTTTGCACATCATACAGTCAGGTAGTTACACAATGACAGGAAGAATCAATGAACTACTAGAGCACTCAACAGCGAAGTGGTAGTTCATTGAGAACTACAAGCCGACAGCTGCAAAGGATGTTGGTACTTGTAGTTGATTCATTGACAGAACTCTGTAAATGAATGATGCAGCTGTGTGGTGGGAGCCCTGCACAGCCACGCTTTTTTACAAATATGACAGATGTTACGGGGAACTAGCTGCAGGAGCAGGAACATGTTACATGTTCCACCCTAAAAATGGGTGGAATTTGTAACATGTTCCCGAAGGTGAACGTATCCTTTAATTGTATATAGTAATTTTCAGACCACAACATCAAAGATAGAGGCTGCAGCTTGTGAAGACTCTGCCATAAGTATTGCTTTAACCACTTCCAGTCCGGGCACTTTTACCCCCCTCCTGTCCAGGCCAATTTTCAGCTTTCAGTGCTATCACACTTTGAATGACAATTGCGCGGTCATGCAACACTTTATCCATATGAATTTTTTGGCATTTTTTTGAGACAAATAAAGCTTTATTTTGGTGGTATTTATTCACCACTGGGATTTTTATTTTTTTTTGCTATGTAAATTAAAATGTCCAAAAATTTTGAAAAAAGTGTTTTTCTTATAAAATTTTGTAAATAAATAGTATTTCATCATAAATCTTGGCCAAAATTTATTCCGTTATATTTGTAGTAAAAAAAAAAATAACACAAATTAGTTTATAAACAAAATTATAATTTTTAAACATTTTTTGCTACATTTGTTTTTTATTTTTGTTATATTATTTTTTATTTATTTATTTATTTATTTTTACATACTGTCACCCTAGCAGTACAGTGTCACCATGGTGACACTGTACTACTTGTGGGGAGTGATGAAGATTTTTTTTTTTTTTACACTGCTTGCTTTTACATCCATAAAGGCTGTAAAAGCAATTATTTCTTCTCTCTAGCTGCATTCTTGCAGCCATTGAGAACTACTGAGTGAGCTGTGATTGGTCACAGCTTGTCACATGGTACAAGGCTGTTGTGAATAGCCTTGTACCATGTGACCTCTGTGATCATTCACAGATTTCACAGATGTCACAAGTGACATCTTGCTTACTACTTTGCATGTGATCACTGATTGGCCAATCAGTAATCACATGATCGGGACCTCGTACAGAGGTACCGTCTGATGATCGGTGTTCCACTGTGTCCAGAGGACACAGTGGGCTCCGGATCGCGGTGCTGCGCGCTCCCAGGGAGCGCGCACAAGCAGGGTACCGGGAGGCTGTTTATAAACGTCCACCCGACCCTGCACTGCCACCGTCCGGCCGTTTATATACAACGGCCAGACGGGAGGTGGTTAATACTGTCCCCTTAAAAGCTGGGTTCTGCTCAGTGTTGCTTACATGGAACAGCATTCCCTTCCGCCCTACTGTTAGAAAAGATGTCTTACATCACGGGCTCCTGCCCTTACACGTTCCGCCACAAGGGGAGGCCTCTGATAAAGCCACTAAACCATTGAATTTTCATTATTGTTTTTTGCAGTGTGTGCAATACTTCAGAATTTTGTCAGCAGCACATTTTCAATTATATTTGTGTTTCTTAACACAATAGGTGTGTACAAGGGGGATTTCAAGTAATTTTTTGCTGATAAAAGAGGCTGGATGAATGGGGAGCGTTAAAACCTGGTGGTTGAGCTGCAATGTTATCACCCCTAACCAGGGGTGGACTGTCCATTTGCGCGCTCAGACACTGCCAGAGGGCCCTGGGTCAGTAGGGGGCCCCTTTAGATGCCCCTAGTACCTTTCATAGGCTTTTTGGGGTGTGGTTTGCGTGTGGGTGAGGACACAGGGGCCTCATGATCCCTTATTGCCTGGGGGCCCCATGAGTTGTCAGTCCGCCCCTGCCCCTAACCACCCACCCGAACACTAACATGCAGCTGCTCAGTGCTGGTTAGATTCGATGCCCAAAATAAAGTGCTTCAGTGGCATAGCAAAAATGTAACAGCACTTAGATTGTAAGCTCCCAGGATCAGGGCCCTCCTATCCCTCTTGTATTGAACTGTATTGTGGCTGTATTGTCTCCCTTTATATTGTAAAGTGCTGAGCAAACTGTTGGTGCTATATACATCCTGTATAATAATAATAATAACCAACAATGTAATGAAAGTCCAAGAAAAAGTCCACTGAATACATCAAAAATAAAAAGAGGAAAAAGTCCACGTGTTGTGTCACTAAGTGATTATCCTAAAGTGATAATAATGCAATCACCAGATATTACAACCACCGAACCTGATCCATGAAAGCCAGGCAAAGCATGCAATTGCAGCACGGTAGTATGGAATTACAGGGTTAAATCAGGCAGTGAGGACGCAACAGAACACCTCCTCGCTCTTTGAACGGCATTGAATGAGCCCTTGGGGTGTCCACAAGGAGGTAAGCCAGTGAATCGCTACCAGGACTTTGCATATAAATGACCATTATTACATTTATATTAACTGTAGGTATGCCTTTAACCGTTTCACCAGCAGCACGTTAAATCACTTCACTCCCAGAAGGACCTCATCTGATGGGAGAAAGCAAATAAAATACCATTGAGGTAGATTACTTTTGCGTTTCAGATTGTGGCTTTGACATGAGTGTCTTTTCCTGCAATAGAAGATAATTAGAGCTGTGAATCAGAAGGCTGCTGCCCATCGAATGCATAGTACAGTATGTTCTCAGCCACTGAGACGGATGTGGGTTCCATGCCAAGAGCACTTTGCTGCTAGGGTACGAAACAAGTGTGTTAATGTTTAAGAACTGTGAAAGTTCTGTGCTAGAGTAAACACTGCATTCTGAGATTTATTTTTAATCCTGTCCTTTTTTACAAGAAAGCAAGTCAAGCAAAGGAGTAAGACCAGCTAAATATATTTACACACAACACTGGCTGCGTTTGTTTCATTTTTAAGTAAAAGCTCCCTATTGAGAGATACTATCAAGATTTTCAAATGGTCTATCATGGATACATGACTTTTACCTTGCTTTAATGTTGGGAGGATGATATGAAGCATATACTACCTTCAGACGTCTAAGGGGTCTATGTATAAAATGTCAAAATTGATATTTCACCATATTGATTGAAATGGGTTTTTTTTTACCATATTTAAAGAAACAAATATAGAAACATAATTTATTTTACCAGTTTAAAAAATGTTCCCTTGGTCTTTGGACGTCAAATGTATTTGTTATCCATTAATCATAATGCCTGGAAGGTGTAAATATATAAACAATTATTAGTTTTGTTTTCATATGTTTGTCAGGTTTTATAACCATTCTGTGCTCATTTTCATTTTTAATACTTCACTTCAAAAGATTAATTTTTCTATATCACACTTAGACTTAAAGCATTACTAAACCCACAACAGTAAAATCAGCCTGTATCTGCAGTAAAACATGCCTGTTATACTCACTGTGGAACCTAAGGGGTTAATCCTCTGCATTGTGTAAAAAGGCTGTTTGATCCTGTCTTCGCTGTTCCTCCCCTTGTTCAAGCGACTACCTCTTATCTCCTGATAAGACAGACTGAACCATAGGCATTTTGCACATGCTCAGTTTGGTGTGTATTGCTAGAGAGGAATATTTTTTCCTGGGAGAGTGCATGTAATCAGCACAGGGCCAATCAGTACTGTCCAGACAGAGGTCAGGGGTTTTGCATCCTCCTAGAGCAGAAATAAAACTCCTCCTACAAGCTTCAGCTAAACAACTTATCCACGCATTGATTTTATCCTGTTTTG